TCGTTCCTGATGAAGTGCTAGTTCTGAATACTGATTCAGCTTTCCACAGTTTCCTTTCACGAGGCTTGCTGCTGGTGCTAACCTCAGGTGGATCCTTTGGTTACTCGTGGCAACCTCCGCTTTCCACTACCACAAGCTGGAGGAACTTCGTTCATTGGCTGAAAGTTTAATGGCATCAGAGACCCATGTGGGTTACTCGGCCTCCATTTGGGAGCTGTCCCTTATCAAAATAAAACATCTTTAAATCAGCCTGCATGAAGAGTTTCTCTGTGGTTGACCACAGAGATGAAGAGGGAGACGGGGCCTCATTTAGGAAAGCACAGCAACACTTAATTCTGTCTTATTAACAAGCATTGCCGCTACAGTGATGAGCAAAATGTCAGATAAAATCCCTGTTTCTACTTCATGTAGCTAAATCAAACACAGGACACATAAACTTCTGGGCACTACTCCTGGCTGTCAGGAGCACATAAACAAATCTTGCAGAATTACATTTTTTTTGTATCATATAATAATAACAAGCATGAATGCCTTTGCAGATAATGAACTGTGTGTTCACCTGGACATGAGACATTATGCTGAAGATCCTAAAAAAGAATCATGAGGTATATTCTGAAGATTCAGCACACTAAGGCAGAAATCTGATCCATCATGCTTAGTTTTCTCCATCAGCTGTTTTGCATAGTAAACTGTTCTCTCCACAGTGGTCGGTTTTTCCAGGCAAGGTCAAATCTGGGCAGTGAGAATGTAGTAAGGTAAACAAATCCTTACTATCCTTAGTGAGAAATCCAAAGCCAAAGAGTGATAGTTGAGGGCAACCAGACGAGGTAGAGAGGGTTTCAGGAAAGGAGGCTTGTGAGGTGGATGAAATCCTAATACTGAGAGCAGGTAGCAGTGAGAAGAGGGTTTAAATAGTTGCGGGAAAGGGTGAGGAATAAAGATTGAATAATTTGGAGTTAATTGGTGCTGCCCCCCCCCCCCACTCCCATACGGGTGGCTCCTGAAGCCCGTGAAGGATGGTCTGGGAAATTCTGGTGGAACTCCCTGAGAAGGGGATGGTCCAGGATGTTTCTTTCTGGAATTGTGGATTTGTCTTCAGGGCCATATCCCAGTCCACAAGATATTGTAGAGCACCGCGAAACCACAGAGAACCCAGGTTCTTGTTAATTGTGTACGCGGGGTACCCGTTGATAATGTGTGGGGGGGTCTTTCTTGGTGGAGATAAGGGTGATCATGAGAAGGGTTTGAGGGAGGAAATGTAAAACATGGGGTGGATCTTAAGAGTCGGGGGAAGAGCCAGACAGTAAGAGACAGGAGTGACCTGGGAGATAATCCTGAATGGTCTGATGAAATGTTGTTGAACAGCCGCCGTTTTTTTTACCCGTGGGTTTTATATTGTTTTGGCTCAGTATTCTGTTAGCGACTAGTTATTTACAAACCCTGTGCAGTCTCAAGATGGGATCTGAAAGATAAAGTATCCAAGACGGGTGACGAAGAAGAGTGATCAGTTTTTCCAGGCATGGTCAAATTCGGGTAGTGAGAACGTAGTCAGGCAAACAAATCTGAGAAGGGTGAGACGAGAGAGAGGCAGCGAGAAATCCAAAGCCAAAGAGTTGTAGTTAAGGGGATCCACACAAGGTAGAGAGGGTTTCAGGAAAGGAGGGCGAGGCGAGCTCAGGAGGTGGATGAAATCCTAATACGGAGCGCTGGTAGGAGTGAGAAGAGGATTTAAATAGTTGCGGGGAAAAGGTGTGGAATGAAGATTGAATAATTTGGAGTTAATTGGTGCTGGGGGTGCTTGTAACAGTGAGGTATTTCATGTAGTGAAAAATGACATTTTAGTTTTTACACTCAAGCTGCTGTGAAAAAAGAAAAAAAATATTTTCCATAATTATTGCTTAATTGAATTTAAATGGCATGTAGATCACCAATGAATGAATCAAAAACATGCTTCTATGTAGGCTGAAGGGAAAAATAGATCAAGTACAAAATAATTCATCTGAACTACATACACTGGGTTTTTTTAAATCAGTTTTTGGTAATTTGTCATTCTTTTCCGTTTGACCTAGATCAATGATCTCTTGCTGTGTGGGGAGAAGGAGGAAGTGCAGTCATACTCCTCTGACCTTCCTGCTCATCAAGACATCCATCTTGTGACATGCAGTCCTGTTCCTCCTTGGGGGAGCTGCATGTTCCACATGTGCTTGTTTGTGTCAGTGTGTGCCCTGTGTTGGCCTGGGGTCCCATCTGTGATATATTTTGCGTTCCTTGCCTGGACATGTCCAAGCTGCCCTGCAGCCCTGCAGCCCTGCTTTGGAAAAAGCTGTTAGGAAATGGATGAATAGTACACAGTACATTCACCCAGAGAGAACGCTGAGGTCAGAAGTCTGTCACTCCACTGTTTCCTAATGTAGGCACAAATCAAGCTCTGTTTTCCATGGTGAAATAGAGAAAGCTTTCCTTTGGGTATTTAATCTTGAAGCTTGTGCAGGGCATGTACTGCTATTTTTGCTGGGTTTTGTTTCATCTTCAGTACCACACAGGTGAACAGACACCATCTGGCTTCCCATTTCCCTTACAAACTAAGTTGACTACTTCAGTAGTTCCTGTTGTCTCAAAATCCAAGTTTTTAAAGGATCTTTAAGCTCTTTTGTATTATAAAAGGATTTGCAAGAAAATGTAGTGCACAAAATCTGTTATGGATTTGCTCTGTAATGTATGTGCTATTACACACTATTTTGTTCTTAATGAAAATAAAAACGACAAAAAATAAATTAATGGAAAACCATAAAATGATATCACAGTGCATCTTTCTGAGATACATTAAATATCTGTAAATATATAAATTGTTATATATTTATACTTTTATATATACAAGTTTTACAATTGTGTTTTAAACCACAGTGAAAAGTCGTACACGGTGGTTCCTAAAAAGATAAAGAAACATTTTTAAAAGTGTCCAGCAGTTACATAAGTAGAATTGTTGCTCTGCCCAGAATTGTGCTGCAGTTGTGTTTTTTAAATTTTTTTCTTGAAAAGGCCTTAAGCAAATGTCACAATGTGTCATTATTTAAAAAAAAAACATATAGCCGACTCTACCACACCAACAGCCTCCTCTTCAGACCATAAATCGTATGTGTATTTTAATAGTGTTATGTGCCTTACCTCTTGACAGGAAACGAAAGCAGAGCCTATATATTGTACAGATCCTAATCAGCTTGTGGGAAAGACACAGAAAGCAGACAGCTGTAGAAAATTATTAAGCTGTGATATGATTCTGATTCACCCTTCATTCGGTAGGAAGTATGAATATTTAACTAATGAAGCTCCTTGCGTTCTTGACTGCACTCCCAGGTACTGTAAGTACTGCATGAAACACAGTCACAGTGTGTGTACCTTAACTGGTCTGAAACTGCTTGTTAATCTTCTTCTGATCTACATCATAGCAAAGAGATGAAAATGTAAAATACAATAATAGTACTTTATGGCAAAATAAAGCAGATTATTGGACAAAGGTGTGAAAACTTTCTTATGTAAACATTTATTTATGAAATTGCTAATTATTGTATGCATAACCAGTTTATATTGGCATTATTTTATATTATTTATGTTTGTGGAGTGTTTTGTTCTGTTTTTTTAACAATATAACAGGAGGCAATGCTAGTCAAACAGAATACTTTATTTAAACTTTGAAAATTAAAATAATTTCATGGGTGGTCATTCGAATAAAGAACAAAGACAGTTCAAACAAATTAGAATGATAAATTCTTTGTTTGCTTGTGGTAGTGGAGTGCTTGTGGAAGAATACCAAAAATAGATTAACATTAAGATGCACATGAAAACAGAAAAGAGAACTAAGTTCATATACAGTACACACAGTTTTTGTCTTTAAAAAGAAATTGTAACATGTCACCCAGGAGGGGCTCATGTGTTTATGTACAGGGGCTGGGGTGAGTCCTTACATTTTACCTTTATAATCTCAGACTTTTAATTTCTTTACCATTCCTATCCAATATTCAATAAAACTGCGGCTAATGCGGTCGCCTGTGGTGTTTCATTTGTTTTTCAAAACAAAATCAAACAATAACTAACAAAAACACCTGCAATTAAGTTACAGGAAGGACACCAAAACCCCTAAAAGGCCATATTAGTGCAAATGAATCTTTTTTATTATTGATGACAAGTGGTAGGTAATTTAATGATTTAAACAAGCTACAGTATTTGGGTTTTGAGGGTACACTTGGAAAAAGTAACTCCTTTCCACATGACCAAATTAAGGTTGCCTGGGATTGATGATCAGATCGATACACAGTGAGACGAATTACAGTATAGTATTGTTATCCCTGTAGGAAATAGGAGGCACTATTTCATACAAGAGAAACTAAGAGGTATAAATCCAGATGTAAAACATTCTAGTATTTTTGTAGATTTCATTATTGTGCAACTAATAAGTGTATTTTGATTTAGTTTAGTTTTACATAAAATGGGTTTTCAAAACGTAATTGATTTCTTTCTGAACATTTTCTCTTATTATATCTCTGATTTTTATATGTGCAGGAGTGTTCAGCTGGTTACAACTCACTGGCCTGAAGGGAGGATCTCTCAGTATCCCCTGCATCTATGATATGAAGTACAGAAACCATATGAAATACTGGTGCAGGGGGCCGAGCTGGATTTTCTGCTCAATTTTAAAGAAAAGCATAACTCAACAAAGAGACACTGACTCATTATTAATTTCAGACAACAAAAGCCAACGTGTTCACTGTGACTATGAGGGGGCTGAAGATGGATGATGAAGACTGGTACTGGTGTGCTATAGAAATACAGAATTCAGGAGATGATGGGTATGCCCTTAAACTCACCATAACAGATGATAAGAGTAGACCAGCAATGCCTGCTCTGAATACACTATTGCTTAATATCAAGTCACAAAGAGTTGGTGTTAAGCAAAAAGTGGGGAGTGCTTTGTTGATGTCTACTGTAGTATTTGTACAGACAGGTGAATTAAACCGCTTTAAAGGGATAGAAGAAACTCAAAATTTCTTTAATTGCTGTGCTCAGCTGCTAAATGCATTCCAGAATCCAAATATATTCATTATGTGTCATTTCTGAATAGGTCCTTTCTTTCTGACATATTCTTTAAATAGTAAAACAAAAGGTGGTTTTCTGCTTACAGTTAAAGTATAAATGGAACCCATCAAAACAGCATCAGAGTAAAGCATGGGGCCACCTCTCTCCTCCAAGTGCCTTTGCAATAAGCTTTGCAAAAAAGAAAATAAGCTGTTTTTTATGAATCTCCTGAACAGTTTTTGAGGAATTCAGTAAAAGTTGGAATCCCCTTTGACAGAAAATCCTGTTTCTGCTGCAATGTGTTCAGTTGCTTCAAGAAAGTGCAAGGTGGTGTTTTTAAAAATAACAAAAGCTGTATTCTGTTTGTCTGGAGATCATTGAATATCATCATTTTCCCTTTGTAACTGCAGACTGATTGTTCTTGTGGTCATGTGTAGTCCTGGATACCCGTATCTAAATATGCTTTTATAAAAAAAATGCTGTTTTCAAAATATTTTTATTTAATGAAGACTTAATTTTGAATAACAACACTAACTAATAGTACCAATAATTAAAGTGCTGAATAAAATAACTTTTCTTTACATGTGTTCAGGGTTGATGGATGATGATAAACTCTGATGACATTGATAAAGAGAGGATTGTATGAAAAAGACATGGCACAGGTGTCTGTTACAGTCGTTAACAATTTCTACTACATGTTCTCAGGTTCCTTTGGATTCTTTATGCAAAATAATCGCCTGACAGGCTTAGCGGAGAGACAGCTAGATGTTCCATGTGAATATGGTCCTGCTCTCCAAAGCTATGTGAAAATGTGGTGTAAAGGTATGGAAGTGAGAAGCTGCAAGGTGCTGAGAGGTGAAAGCACTGATACATCCAGCAGAGTATCAACTACGGACAACAGAACACAGAGAGTATTCACTGTGACTCTGAGAAGACTGAGCCCAGAAGACGTGGGCTGGTACTGGTGCACCACAGAGAAGAAAGAGTATAAGATCCCTCTCGACCTGACAGTCCAAGAAGATAAGACGAGCCTTTGCCTCACTTGAATCACTGTTTCTTAATCACTTCATTGCTCTTCACATTGGGCCATCGGGACTGCGTGACACTTTGGGGCAAAGGTCAGCATCCTGTCTTTGTGAGGTCATATAAGTGATTTAATGTGATTCCAGTACAATAAACGTAAATGCAATACTGTGCTTAATCAAGCCTTGCTTGAGAATTTTAAATATAGAACTGCATTCCTACAACAGGGACAGGATTGCCCTGGATACTGACAAAAGGTACTGTATGTTTTGCGTATTAATCGTCTATATATATGAAATATATTTACAGTATGTAGATGTGTAAATCAGTGAAACATAAAGCTTGTGATTAGGATATATTAAAATAATATTTAATGTATTACTTATTATTTGTTTTTGAGAAAATAAGTAGTTATTGTATGCAATATATTAATATAATCAGTTTGTATGTGCATTTTTAAAAATAAACAAAAAAGTAAAGAAATCAAATTGTTCTGCAAAGCAGATAAACTACACGGAGGATATTCAAGTTAATACAACTTCATATTTTTGTAGGTTTAAGAACAACAGTAATTCCACCACCTACCAGGTATTCACCTTCATTATGTTTTAATGCTGTGTTTTATACTTAAAAGGGATAAATTGTGTGATTGGCCAGTTTGGAGTTTTGATCCTAATGTTGTTTGATCAATTATTTAAAACTCTATGCAGAATTACCTTGCGTATACAAATTTAAAATACTACAGAATGTTACAAATAAAACAGTACTATAAATGATGGAGAGCAGATAAATGAATCTGCTAGTTGGGAAGGCTCCTACATTCTCCTAAATGGATCCCTCCTGGTGCGCATTAGTTCTACATTACTAAGAGTTAGGGAAAACAAGTACCAAAAATGACCAAATACCTCAGTTCATGCTGGAGAACAGCTAGTGGATTATATATGAGTCAGAGAGAAAATGCCTAGCACAGTGGAAATAGGAAGAAAAAGAAACTATGTTATAATTTATAAGATTGTGTGGTTTTAAGAAGCACAACTGATGTAAATCAATTTTGAAGAGTTGCTACAGTATGTGATTAAAAATAAAACCAGAAGTTTCAAGTCAGGAGAGCACTAATAATTTTTAGAGGTAGTAAACAGTAACATTTAAAGCCAATATATATATATAAAGCTAAAATTAACAAGAATTAGAAGAGGTGATGCAGCCAGGAGAAAGACTGGCTGGGGACATGTATAGTATGTGTGATAGTACAAATTTGGAAATCACTGTCTTTCCCCCTCACAGCACATGAAGTTAATGATTTTTGTTCAAAGAAGTACCTTAAAATAATTAATAAAATAAAATAGTCAAAACTAAGATATACAATAGATCACTCAACTGTTACGATCCCTGCCTCCCGGCTACGGAAGAGGCAGAAGAAGGCGTAGCCTTACTCCATCAGTTTACCTATCAGTTTTCTTATTCACCACCACACCCCCGTCTCATCCTATACTTAAACACCTGTCTTTTCCTACCTCCTCGCTCAGTATTGGTTTTCCTTTTCGAGCTTCCTAGTTGCGCTACTCCTTCTTCTGCCTTGTGTCCTTCTTGGTTTTCGGTTTACGGTTTTTTCTCCATTTGACGACGGTTTTTCGGATCACGGCTTGGCTTCGGTACTCACACTCTGTTTTGGATCTCTGGCTTCCCCTGGACTATCGGATTCCTCTATTGTCTACGGTTTCGGATCACGCTTTGGCTTCGGTAACTCATTCCCTTTTGGATCTCTGGCTTCCCCTGGACTCTCGGCTCGTTTCTTCGACTACGGCTTTCTTTGGATCATGGTTAGGCTTTATCAGCTCCTGCAAGTGGGTTCATTCACTGGTTTCGGTTTCTCTTACCGAATCCGTAACATCTGATTGTGCTTCACCTGTCAAAACATTACAAGCTGTTTTGGAGAGATTTGTGCAGGAAATGTATGGATGTAATCTTAATTTAAGTCTGACATACAGTACTAGAATTAATCAGGAACTTTTAATTATTTAATTATTATTTATTTTATATGTCATCCCATCTTGAAAATCATACCAAAATCACACTAATTATGTGAAAAGTTCATATTCTCTGTTCCAGCTAATGTCTCTAATGTCAGGCTATGTGAACAGTCTTGGTCTCTGACATGAACTGATTATCTCATGAATCCTTTGAAACAGTGCTCCTGTTCCACCTTTTTCAATATATACAGTACATACTAAACCTAGCAATTCATAGCAGGAATGGGCAATGTTGGTGAGAGCAAAAGGCACTAATAATCTGTTTACAACAGTGGCATAGGACTCAAATACACAGTATAGATACTAACATAGAAAATGAATAAACTATCAATACTCACTTAGGGCACAAATACACATTATAGATACTCACATACACATGATCAATACTGACATATTGGTTCAACCAGCTCTTTAATTACTCAATTGACCTTGCTACATCACATACTACCTACTTCCTGCAACTCACTTTTATTACTAAGGATTTCAGAGAACAAAATTTGTAGAATCAAAAACTGTTGTTTACCCTTCTGTAAACTTTGCAATTAATTCACTGCCAAAGTAGCTGTGTCCTAAAGTAATTGTTTTTATTCTTGCTTTTCAAACTGAAAAGCAGTTTAAAATGTTTTAACACTTTAACAATTCAAAAATGTCCTACCATTTTCCTGAAAAAATAAAAATGAAATGCAAACATAATTTGAAACAAATGTATTTTTGCAGCTAGTGGGTTAAATGTTTAAAGAACCAAATACAGTACTTTGAAGTTATCACAAATAAAATAATGCTGTACATTTTATAAATGATTTTGTTTTCAGGTGGAGTTGATACTTTGTCTATTGAAGCAAACGGGATCCAATTACAAGATAATGCATCTGTATGTGACCTACATGACCAGTATTAATGACTTATGATCCAGTATACAGTATGTTGCAAACTTGTTTAATGTAAAGATGACACAAAGCTGGCTAAATGACACTTGACATCTAGTTAAAGTGTGTAAACTATTCACAATCTAAACAGATGGTAATCATGTAACGAAATCCAAATTGTTACAATGTCTTCAAAGC